CCCCACATGGCCCACATCCCCCTACATCATCAGTACATGGCCCCCTGCCACCATAATTACACCCGAATTACAGCATAGACTTACTGAGGTCCTCTGGTAGGATGGTCAGTTCTCGTTCAGGTAGACCCATCACCTGTCTAATCAGCATGGACTGACCCACCATCTTGTCCACAGCCTCCAGGAGGAGCTGGTACCTGTCACAGAAACATGGAAAATACAGACTGTACAGCAGCACAAGGACAGACTATACAGCAGGACAAGGTCAGACTGTACAGCAGCACAAGGACAGACTATACAGCAGGACAATGATAGACTGTACAGCAGGACAAGGACAGACTGTACAGCAGCACAAGGACAGACTGTACAGCAGCACAAGGACAGACTGTACAGCAGGACAAGGACAGACTGTACAGCAACACAAGGACAGACTGTACAACAGGACAAGGATAGACTGTACAGCAGGACAAGGACAGACTGTACAGCAGGACAAGGACAGACTGTACAGCAGCAGAAGGACAGACTGTACAGCAGGACAAGGACAGACTGTACTGCAGCACAAGGACAGACTGTACAGCAACACAAGGACAGACTATACAACAGGACAAGGACAGACTGTACAACAGCACAAGGACAGACTGTACAGTAGGACAAGGACAGACTGTACAGCAGGACAAGGACAGACTGTACAGCAGCACAAGGACAGACTGTACAGCAGCACAAGGACAGACATTTTTGACAGCTCTGGTTCTTTGACCAGTTCTTCTGAAGTTAAAATAAACAGATCTTAAAATTATCATAATACATTGATAATATTTAGTGTCTTTTAACAGAAACACCATATTATTCCCGTCACATTCATCAGTTTGTTTAGTAAAAAAATTGTATGTTGGATTCATCAATAGAGTTTTATTCAAATCACAGATCATTTGCACCAGTCCACTAGATTCAAATTTGCACTTGACCACTGACCAATCCATTGACCACTGACCAATCCATTGACCACTGAGCAATAAGGAGCTCTGGAATTTTTCAGGCTCTAAACAATGAAATTGCTTGACTAAACTACTAGTATATGAAGATTTGTCTCCCTTGGTTAAGTGAATTTGCAATTTTGAAAATATATCAATATCAATATTTAGCAGAAAGCAAAAAATTACTTTGTTTAAATAAAAGAAAATTTGCCTGGGACAGCCAAATCTGATTTACATTATACTTGTTCAGTGTACTTGACAATGGAGAACGCGATACTAGACAACTTTAAATGGATAACATATTTACAAATTCTGTAAGATTTTTTTTTTTTTAATTTAGTTTAAAAAAACACATCTATTAAATAGGCATTATTTGTTTAGCCCCAGATTTTGATTAAACTGATCATTTTTTCATTTGTAGTCTCTCAATTGAATTATGGTATTACACCATAAAAATGACCAAAGTGGAAAACAGGAAGTTAACTCAGGCACCCCTGAAGACACATTTGAACTCTTCCATTTCAAAGGTTGGAATAGTTCATCATGAGATTTCAGGGGTGGATGAGTTGATGACCTACAATTAGCGGCTCAATTAGACAGTGTCTGTAAAGAACCTTCAAGAACCATCAGTCTGACCTTTGTACAAAGTTTGATCAAAGTCTTGTACGAGATGAAGTCGTTGGAGCAATGACACAGAATCGGGACGAGACAGGTTGGCACGGGACAGACATGATGAGTAAAACTACCGTAAACTGGGAAGTTTTAGTTGCAGTTTAATTTTCACCCTATTTCGCCCTCCCCAATTAGGGCGAAATGATCACTACAGCGAAATTTGTAAACAACATAACATACTTTGCTATCAAATGTGAAAGGGCAATTAAATTTAATATTGGGCGAAAAAAGATTATACTGTTGATGAACGAAAATTTCCTTGAATACAGTATATGCCCCCTCCCCTGCCTTACGAAATGGCAGGGACATAACAGAAGTCTTAGGCCAAAAAAAAAAGATTACTTGGTTCTCAGGCCCGCGTGCATTTTATGGCACCGTGCGCATTGCCGATTTTATCGTGAAAGTAAAAAAAAAAAATTGTGAATGCGCCAGCCGCCATCTTTAAAAATAATCCGGAAAATTGGTCGTTTTTACTCGTTAATCACCCAAGTCCGGAAAACGTTTGAATAAAGGTAAGGATTGAGATACAGGCAAGCGTTAAAATGATTATGACTTATTAGTCTTGTGTACAAATGGCGCTCATTTCGGTACAAATAAGGAATGGGGGGTTCGTGATTCTCGTCTGGAATATCGTGGGGGGATTTTCGGAGGCTTGCTCTATGACGGGGCTCTACACAACTATAAAAAGACAAGGTAATGTCCACAATGAACGTTTTAAAAACTACACAATAAAAAAAAATCACCCACGTCTCGTTTTTGCCATGTAAAATGAAAAAAAAAAATACCGCCCTGCCGCATCTATTTTGAAAAAAATTGGCCTGAGAACCAAGTAATTAATTTTATTTGGCCTTAGTAATTCAACCATGTCCCAATCTAGCAAATTCTGCCGAGAAGGAGTCTGGCTGGGTTGTTGGGAATATACAGTATGAAAGATGCCATGTGACCTACCCGACTTTGTAGAGGTTTTTCTTGATAGGGATGTGGGGAGTGTACGCCATCTTGGATACATTAGAATTGAGCTGGTGTAGGAAGTTCTCTTTTCTTTCGTCATCTTCGTCCATGTCCAACAGGTCCTACAATGAGAAATATTTTTTTTTTACCGAGGTGTAACTGAATTATCTCCCTTTAATTAACTTGCCTTGTCAGTTTTTTTGTGTACCAGATTTGAACAAAAGGAATTTGATATCAAAACACTTTACAAATTTGGCTGTAAAATTTACTTCGTTGAAATTCAATATAGATACAATGATCAAATATGGCCATAAAAGGCGACCTCATTGCATACTTGCCAATTATTTTTAATTTCCATGGGGGAGATTCTGAATTCTCAAAATTAAAACCTAAAAAAAGTGGGTATATATACCCCTAAGAGACAGAAGAACCCTTTAAAATTATATATTTTGAATAGTTCTTTCAGATGAAAACATTGGAGATTAGAATATAGGATTAGGTAGTAAATAGCAAATTCACTGGTTGAAAATACTAAATGTAAGGGGCCGAAATCGGGAGTCTCCCTCCTAAATAGGGAGAGTAAGCAAGTATGTCATTGAGGTCCTTTAAAGACACAATGACCATATATGGCCGTACAAGGCTACCTCATTGCAGTCCTACACTGAACATGAATGGCCATGCATAAAAGGCTATCTCGTTGAGGTCCTTTATAGACACAAAGACCATATATGACCGTAAAAGGCTAAAATGACCATGAATGGCCATAAATCAAGGCTACCTCGTTGAGGTCCTTTATAGACACAATGACCATATATGGCGGTAAATGGCTACAATGACCATGAATGGCCATAAATTCAAGGCTACCTCGTTGAGGTCCCTTATATACACAATGACCATATATGGCCGTACAAGACTACAATGACGATGAATGGCCATAAATTCAAGGCTACCTCATTGTGGTCCTTTATAGACACAATGACCATATATGGCGGTAAATGGCTACTATGACCATGAATGGCCATAAATTCAAGGCTCCCTCGTTGAGGTCCTTTATAGACACAATGACCATATATGGCTGTAAAAGGCTAAAATGACCATGAATGGCCATAAATCAAGGCTACCTCGTTGAGGTCCTTTATATACACAATGACCATATATGGCCGTACAAGACTACAATGACCATGAATGGCCATAAATTCAAGGCTACCTCATTGTGGTCCTTTATAGACACAATGACCATATATGGCTGTAAAAGGCTAAAATGACCATGAATGGCCATAAATTCAAGGCTACCTCGTTGAGGTCCTTTATAGACACAGTGACCATATATGGCCGTAAAAGGCTACAATGACCATGAATGGCCATACATTCAAGGCTACCTCATTGTGGTCCTTTATACACACAATGACCATATATGGCTGTAAAAGGCTACAATGACCATGAATGGCCATACATTCAAGGCTACCTCATTGTGGTCCTTTATACACACAATGACCATATATGGCTGTAAAAGGCTAAAATGACCATGAATGGCCATAATTCAAGGCTACCTCGTTGAGGTCCTTTATATACACAATGCCCATATATGGCCGTACAAGGCTACCTCGTTGAGGTCCTTTATATACACAATGTCCATATATGGCCATACAAGGCTACCTCGTTGAGGTCCTTTATATACACAATGACCATATATGGCCGTACAAGACTACAATGACGATGAATGGCCATAAATTCAAGGCTACCTCATTGAGGTCCTTTATAGACACAATGACCATATATGGCCGTACAAGGCTACCTCATTGAGGTCCTTTATATACACAATGACCATATATGGCCGTACAAGGCTACCTCGTTGAGGTCCTTTATATACACAATGCCCATATATGGCCGTACAAGACTACAACGACCATGAATGGCCATAAATTCAAGGCTACCTCATTGAGGTCCTTTATAGACACAATGACCATACATGGCTGTAAGACTTAACCTCCTTCAGGTCCTACAATGACCATACATGGCTGTAAGACTTTAGCTCCTTAAGGTCCTCTACAGACACAATGACCGTACATGGCTGTAAGACTTTTCCTCCTTAAGGTCCTCTACAGACACAATGACCGTACATGGCTGTAAGACTTTACCTCCTTATGGTCCTCTACAGACACAATCACCATACATGGCTGTAAGACTTTACCTCCTTAAGGTCCTCTACAGACAAATCCCAGATCCGGCCCTCTCTTTCCTCCTCAGGTACCATCTCTAAGTAAATCTGCTTCAGCTGCTGCACCAGTGCAAAGTTGTAATGGAGCTGTAAGGAATGAAGAACCATATATGGGCATGTCACTAATCTATTTAAGTAAGTTTTGTTGATACATGAAAATACAAAAATGCATGAATAGGCGTTGCCTCGTTAACAGGATTTAACGAGGCAAGGTTTATCAGTATACTGGACAAACTTTTTATATTACAGCTCCTGTATTCCAATCATAAACACGAACTACTAAAATGGAGATTAAGGTACAGATTTTACTATGGGAGGATTCAAATTGATTATCAGTTTTAGATAAGAAACCATAAATTGATTCTTGGGGAAAGTATATTAATAAAGTATCAATCATGTGAAAGGCATCCTCGATATCCAGAGGTTACGCTCACTTTCCCTCTCTACACCCCTGGAATATGTCATAGTAAAATTGAAGGCATGAAGATAGCTGTTTGATTGGTCTCAGGTAAAAAAACCTGACTAATCGCTAGGCTGATACCTGTCCTTTGAAGGTTACAAAAGAGAGACGCCCGACTTCAAAGCCTGTCAATTTTTACCGTTACGGCTAGCTTCTTTTGATGTATATCAAAGGATCGAACTAGTGACTTCTTGTCTCATCGACTTCAAGTTTGCTAGAACAATATTCCAGGGTTGTAGAGAGCAAAATGGAGCGTAACTTCTGGATATCGAGGATGTGAGAAAGATGTCCTGCTTTAAATTGTTCAGGTAATGTATTTTTACATCCCTAATAAATGTTATGGATAAGAAAATATACTACAGATTCTTGAATAACACATGTTGTTCCGTACAAACAGGTATCAACAACGTGCAGCGACCAGAAAGCGCACAATGTACAGTGAAACCTGTCCTATCCGACCCCTGAGTATTCCAACATACTGTCTCGTCCATCTGGATGATGTACAGTGAAACCTGTCCTATCTGACCCCTGAGTATTCTGACATACTGTCTCGTCCATCTGGACGATGTACAGTGAAACCTGTCCTATCTGACCCCTGAGTATTCCGACATACTGTCTCGTCCATCTGGATGATGTACTGTGAAGCTTTATATTGTTTAACGTGCTGTTAACGGCCAAGGTCATTTAAGGACGTGCCTCCATGTGTGTTGTGTAAGCTGTGTGCTGGAGACAGGGTATGTTGGTGTACTTGCCTCCTTATGATAGCGCGGATCTGATGCCGACTTAATAGTGCTATCTCACTGAAACACCATGCCGACTGCAACCAGCACATCATTCCACCCGGTCATATTATACTGACAACGGGTTAACCAGTGGTTGTCATTACCCACAATGCTGAGCGTTAAGCAGGGAATAACAACTACCATTGTTAAGAACATCAGTATGTCCCGACCTGGGGATAGAACCCATTGCCTTCCTCACCTGGGGCGAACTATCATTATGAAAATGACCAAATATAAACCTGTTTATTCCAACAGCCTCTCTAATCTGACTGATATCTTGTTTCCCACAGGGTGTCGGATTATACACGTTCAACCTATTTCGCCAGCTAAATTATCCTGATTTTCCATATGAAGAACGCTATCGATGGATAGTTTAAGTGACATACCTTTGGGTTGTTGCGCGCAAATATTTCCTCTTCGGTGATGTAATTGTCAACCGGAGAGCTCGGCCGATCTGGTGTCTTGATGCCACTTATAATGTCGAACATCAAATGTCTCACCATCTGCTCCGCCTGCTTCTGCTGGAGGTCTCTCTAAAAAAACCATATAAATATTACAGATATTTATTTCTTTAACTTAAATACAGAACCTTTTACTCAAAGGCCAGATTTGCTTCCTGTTATAGGACCATATCTTCTATATAGAAATCTTAAATTTGGAAAGTGCAGTTATTTCATAATATTATTTGTATATTCAAATTGTATTTTCGTAAGTTAACATGAATCTTTTTTTCTTTCTCAATTTCCATTGTTTTTGATATGATATTGTGGAAATAAAAAATCAGTTTCTTACTATGCAATGCACAGGGTTAAATTAAATTTTCAATGAAAGAAAGTTCAAAATTGAATATTAATTGAATATTAGTGGGTTTTAAAGTTTATATGCATTTCAATATTTTTCCTATTTTTTGTTAAAAACTATGTTGTGGATTTTTTTTTTTTTGAAGAATTGCTTGTACACGGGCTAATGAAATGAAATGTTTAATGAAAGAATTGTTAAAAAGAATATGAATTGCTTTGACAGTAGGTTTTTCAATCATGAATATACATTTTATTTTGAAAATATGTTGTGGTACCAGACCTAGTTAAGTATCAATGAAAAATAATCAATAAACATTCATCTGCAGTATTTCTAACTTAATAATAATAATAATAATAATTTGAGGTTCTTATATACTGCTTTATCACAACCTAGCTCGTAGGTCTTCTTAAAGCGGTTCACAAATTATTATCCGTGGTTATAGGGCCTTTTTCTTTACTCTTTGATAAAAAAATCTAAAAATTTTTCGATCTTTTTGTTCTTTTTACACCAGACACAAATAAACCATTCAATATCAGAATTATTTTTAGTGTCTGATCAGAAATTTGGAAACAAGATGGACTTGATATCTCACCTCCAATTCTTCACGCTCCTTGAGAAACTTGTCCTCTTGCAGGGCGATACCGCGAAGGGTGACAATGAGAGCCGCGCCCCCACACAGAGTCGGGCGCGTCTCAAACCTCCATTGTTCATGGAACACGCCTGCGCTGGGTGACTTAAACACGAACGGAAACTTCATTGTCTCCCCTGGCAGAATCACACCTGTCGAAGAAAATATTTTACTTTTAATTATTTGTGTACCGCAACTCCCAAGTGAACTACTACAAAATCAAATTTCTTGCATTAAAAGATTCAGAAGTGTATGACAAAGATGTTGAACATATGATACAGTCAGACCTGTATTCAAACTTCAGACTTTTTATTTTATCTCGACACCTTTGACTTAGCGGTACACCTTTGACTTACAATGGTATACAGAGCCTGTATTCAAAATTCAGACTTTTTATTTTATCTCGACACCTTTGACTTACAATGGTATACAGAGATATGTCACACGTACAAAGTAATAAACATGCATGGTTATACAGAGGGATACAGTGTAACAGAAACGGAGATGTACTGCAGTGACATATAATAAATCCTTTCATGCAGGGGAACAGACAGGTTTTTTTTTTTTTGATAAAGGTACATAAACTTGTTTAACAGGAATGCTATTCTTTTAGATGACATTATAAAATTCAGTCTCAGAGTATTCAGGGAACTGCTGCATGAAGACAGGAAGTGGTCTCTTCCAGCAGGTGGCCTCATCATACAGGTTCATTTAACATGTAAATAAAAGCAGGAGCTAGTTTAAAAAGTGGTGTCTTAATTTTTAATAAGGTGGTCTGTTAAACAAGGTTCAACTAACATGAAAATAAATGGAACGGCAAAGGGATTCGAACCCAGGGCCCGTATTCATGAAACCGTTCTCATGCTCAAGCATGGATTTTGTGCTCCTGCCTTATTTTTTGTTTTCTTTATAAATTAAAGAATAAAATCAATTTTGTCAATGATTTTGAAGAAAAAAGAAGAGACTTAAAGCGAAATACTGTTTTCAATGTTTACAATTAAATTTTTGATCGTTTGACATGATTTAAGTGAGTTACAAAAAATTTGGTTTGAGCACAAAATCCGTACTTGAGCATGAGAACGGTTTCATGAATATATTATACGGGCCCTAGTCTTTTATGGGCTCTTAAATATAATTCATGTATACGGTTGGTAATTGATTGTAACATAACGTAAATACAACTCATTGGGATTGAGTTTCAAAAATAACTTGATGGGGAGTTTGTTTGGGTCCCTTAATACAGGTTAATAGGTTTTTTGATAGTCTGAGTTTAAATTTCTTATTTATAAAGTAGATTTCACTCCATCTTTATATTTTTGAACTGGTTAAAATCCAAAATGCAACGAACCGAGAAAGATAAAATATAGCCTCATATAAAACTTTGTGCTTTACGACAAGACAGAGCCTAGTCTTACCACTGCTGTTGTTGAAATAGAACCGCTGCACGTTCTGGTGAACCAAATCAAATGGGTTATCCTTTGGCACTTTCTGGAAAGAAATAGAAAACAAATTAAGTGATTCAGAAAATATTTATTTCTCACAAATTGTCTAAAAAACTGTGAAAAGCTAGTACATTATAACTTCCTGGAGTAATAAAACATGGATAGGTTTCAGTGTCCGCGGAAATAGTTATATCTTTAAATTTAGGTTTTGAAATTAAGATGCAGAGGGATCGTTTGAAAGTTAACTATTAAACCTCTGTAAGACATTATTGCCCTTTGGTTGACTTATAAATAACAACAGTGACTTGGCATTTACCTATAAATAACAACAGTGACCTTGGCATTGACCTATAAATAACAACAGTGACCTTGGCATTGACTTTGAAACCCTGAACTATGAAGTCGTCCAAGGTATTCTTGTATTTGAGCTTTTGACCCTTGACCTTGACCAATGACTTGATGGGACGCACATGGGTATTGCTATGTGGATGCAGGGTGATCAATGAAGAATACAATGGCCGACATAACAAACACGGCGCTGTCACACAAGAATGATCCTTTTTTACAAAATTGTACACCAAATCGTAGCTATAAACCCAACATATATACTCACACCTGTAGACCCTCGAACCAGACATGCACACCCTCACGCATACAAACACATATCTGCTACAAAGGACACCTACAAATATTCATTCTTTCCACACACAATAACACAATGGAATCTCCTTCCCATAGCAGCAGTACAATGCACAACACTCGAGGACTCAAGGCACACATACCCTATGCAGCCCTTGAAGCCCTCATCACACGCTAAAACATACACCAGCTTTTATCTTTTATCTATACCTTGCACAAAAAAACAACTAATCACTGTAAATAACCCCCTTTTTTACGCCTCTGTGATAGGACCCCCGAGGGTATAATCATCACTATTGATGGAGTCCCCAGCACCATAAAGAAGAAGAATCACAACAATCAAGTGTCACCAGTACTCAATTTATCGACTAGTTTTGCCTCTTGGTGCGAAGCTACATCAAGACCTTTCTGTCTTTTGATGTAATGATTTTATATTTCTCTCTCAATCATTTTTGGTTGTTTGTTAGTTACATGTTTGGTCCCATCATAAAACAGAAATGGCCGACCCTACTCACCTTCCAGTCGTAGTACACAGCTGTTGTGCCGTCGTTGACGATGTAGAGATACGAGGTCACACGGTCCTTGGCGTATGCTTCAAACGTGACACGAGCCTCAATCCCGACCTGTTCCTGGAAACTGTATCCGTCCCCAGTCCAGCGAGCCGGCTGCCCGGCGAAGTTGATGGATGGGCCAAAGATTGGTTCGGGATGAACATCAGGATGGTCCCTCAGAGGGTCTCTGGAGAAAAACAAAACATAAAAATTTGAGGTTCTTAGGCCAAAAAAAATATATAGTCTGTTTAGGGATGCATTGGTAAAAAAACTGGGGTAGGTAGGTCGGATTTTTTTGTTTTTTTGTTTATTTTTGGTCATGTAATTATGACCCTACTATTGTATGTAAAATAAAGAATTACATAAACAAGGTTCATTTGGAGGCAAGTTGTGATCCATATGATGACATTTAGCGCCAACACGGAGCTGGAAGACATTTTGAAAGGCAAGGAACCTTCTAAAATTCGAAAATCTAGGGTCGGTCAGGAACCCTAAACAGACACCTTTTTTTTTTTAGCCTTATATATACGGCTTTATCACTATCCAGGTCCTAGGTTGTCTCAAAGCGGTTCACAAATTATTATCCGTGGTCATAGGTCCTCTGTAACCAGCCAATATATTTCTCAATAGATTTAAAATCTAGAGAACACATCCTTAGGCAATAAGTTTCAGCCAATTTCCTAAACTGTAATATAAGGTATTACACAATCTAGAATGTTGTTTAGAGGGACATCACAGTGAAGCTTAGCTTTTTGTAAATTTTATGTCCCTTTAAGAGGACTTTCCCATAAATTCCAAATATTTGGTTGAAAAATTGGCAGGAGTACGTTTTCTGATTTCTTTCTGGAATATCACAGGTCCAGATAGAACGAGAGAACTCCAACTTACAGGTTTTCCTCATCTTCCTCAGGGAACTTTTCCAGGATGTCTGTAAACTCGAGCTCCGTGACTTCACGCTCTGGTTTTATTTGAGGTTGGTTTGTTCCGACAACCTCAAGGCTGTCAAACTCCTGTTACCAGAAAAATGAAAATTAGGGAATAAACCTACTGTATTTTGAGATTAAATGCGGCGGTATATTGTGATATTAGTGTTGCAAATTTAGTTTTACTGGTGACGTCCGGAATATTCAAAGTGATGTGTAATATCACATTGACTTTTCGAGGTCAGGCTATTGTTCGTGACGTCATGAATAATCAATTGCATGACATTTCAGGGTCAATCAGGGTCATCGTCTTTAACAATCGGCATCCGGGTTTCATATCCAGATGAGAAATTTGCAGACAATATATCGTGGTTACACTAGTACTGTCGCAAATTATTTTGATTGACCAATCAAATGCCTTGTTACATCTCAAATGTATTAAGTGCTTACACAAAGTGATAAATATAAACAAAGACAGTCTATTTAATGTAAACATACTTTTTCAGCACATATTAAACTCTTTCCCCCCTTACATATCTAAACTGGACTTGCCCTGTCATTGATTTGGTAAGGTTCAAATGTGACTTGAGGGGTGGAGGAGTTAAGCCTTGAAAACCAATAAAATAAAAAAAGATCACCACTAATATACTTAAGTTTATAGCAAATAAAAAAAATGTTTCTACAGATCTAATTTAGGGGTATGTGCAAGTTAGCACACTGACATAAGGCTGTAGAGTAAAAGTGAATTTAGTCCAGAAGAAAGGAAGACAAGGGAAAAGGTAGTGGTGAGAAAGTGAAGGACAGAACAAGAGAAAACGAAAAAGGGATTCTTAAAGCAGAGAGAAGGATAAATGGAAAAGGGGACAGGGATTGAGAGAATGAAGAGGAATGAAATGGGAGAATAGAAAAGGAAAAGAGGGGATGTATGATGACAAATTCCTACAGGTTTGTAAGGATCCAGGAGAGGGAAGGAGGAAAGGACAGAAGGAAAATGAGGGAAAGAGATAATGTATGATGGCAAATTCCTACAGGTTTGGGGAGATTCAGGGGACTGAAAATGAGAGAAGATGGAAAGACAGAGAAAAGACGAAGAAGAGACTGTTTCAGGACAAATATTAACAGGTTTGGGGAGATTCAGGGGACTGAAAATGAGAGAAGATGGAAGGACAGAGAGAATGTCTGGACAAATACTTACAGGTTTGGGAGTGTCCTGGGATGGAAATATAGGAGGTAAAGACAGAAGAAAGACGATAGAGAGGCTGGTGTTTGATGACTTACAGGGCGGTGAGGGTCCAGTTCATCTATAATTGGTTGTAGCTGACTCTTCCTCTCAGCCAGGTACTGGGCCTTGTGCCAAGGGTAGTGGACCGGAGCCGTGTGGTTAGGGGACCAGTACCAGCCCTTCTCGTTCCTCACACCCTGGGGAATCCCAACATGTTCTATAGGTTGGGGGTAGCCTCGCTCTGACTGGGTCAACGTCATACTAAAAATAAACGAATGTCAAGGGTCAAGGTTATGATGAAAATGTCCACATTCATGACAACGGGGGTTAACTTTGTGCTGACAGATCATTATGTCTGCTTGAAACTTACGACTTTCATTGGTAAAGCTAATGGCAGAAAGGCAAAATTTTATAATTTTGAAATTTTTTGTCAAAAGCTTGTCACAAAGTAAAGTCTTGTATCAAGAATATCCCTCACAGTGATGTTTGCTATTGTTAAATTTAACATTTATTTATAAGTTTAGTTGAAAATCAGATTTTTTAGTTTTTTCTGTAGAATTTTTGAATATATATACCAAATTTCAGTTATGGATTATCTCCCTTGCCATACTTTACTGAAAGCAAAACCTCTTAAATCATGCAAGGGACCATCCTCGATATCCAGGGCTTACGCTCACTTACGCTCACTAACACTCACTTACCGCTCACTTACGCTCACTTACGCTCACTCGCTCACTTACGCTCACTTACACTCTCAATACCCCTGGAATATGTCATGGCAAAATTGAAGGCACAAAGATAGCTGTTTGATTGGTCTCAGGTAAAAAAAACTGACCAATCACTAGGCTGATACCTGTCCTTTGAAGATTACAAAGGAAAGACGCCCGACTTCAAAGCCTGTTATTGTTTACCGTTAGCTAGTTACGTGACCGCGATATTCTTTTGATGTATATCAAAGGATCAAACTAGTCTTCTTGTCTCATCCACACGGTGGCGNAAGGATCGAACTAGTCTCCTTGTCTCATCAACAAGGTGGCGCACACTGAGCCTTTGATTTTGCTTTGACATATTCCAGGGGTGCAGAGAGCAAATGTGAACGAGACCCCTGGATATCGGGGATGGCAAGGGACCATTACTTACTGTATACCAGATATGTCATCTCCGAAACGTTCCTGTTGCTTCCAAAACTCACTACCCACTCGATCTAAAATAAACAGCAAAACCAATGTGTTAATGTTATTGTTAAATTTTGGTTTGGTTTGTGTTTTACGTCCTATTAACAGCTTATGGTCATTTAACCCTTTCACCACTGTAGACCACCATGGACTCATAAAGAACAATGCATGGTAGAGTCTACTAAAGTTACATAGGGGTGAAATGGTTAAGGATGTGCCAGGTTTGGGTGGTGGAAGAAAGGCGGAGTTCCCAGAGAAAAACCACAACCTATGGCCAGTACCTGGCAACTGCCCCACACAGGCCGGGAACCCGCGACCCAGTGATGGAGGGCTAGTGGTAGCAGAATGCCAGACGCCTAAACCACTTTGCCACAGCGTAATTGTTAGATACCACCTGGCTTTCAATTCCCTGGTTATTAGTTATTTAAGGATTAACTTGAATATATTTTTCATGTTATGGAGATATAACACAAAAAAACGGAGTGTACTCTTGCGGTTTATGATGTGAGTACACTCCGTTTTTTTGTATTATAGCTCCATAACATGAAAAATATATTCATGTTAATCCTTTTAATTTAATCTACTTTACACAATCCCTGTGGAAATCCACTTTTATTGATGGACTCTTTTCTTTTAGAAATTATTGCGCTGCTGTATCAGCCAATCAAAAGCGACGTTACAAACGGTGACGTCATTTTTTTTACGTTATGGGCTGATAACATTAATTTTTAAGTCAATGAAAATGCTTGTTACAAGCAAGATTAGATTATTAGGAGTTATCATTATAAGTTATAGTTTTAGGTTGTTTTTTTTGTTAACACATTCTGAAATTACCTCCAGTGATCTTGAAGTAAAGTTCAGCTATTAGAAAATTCTGGGTGATCAAGGTGCATATTTTTTTATATATCTGAAGAAATATTTGTAAGCTTTTAAACATTTCTGGGTTGAAGTCCACTATGGGACACAATGATTTATACACACAGGGCCCCATACTTACAGCCTTTGCCGTAGTCCAGGGCGGGGATCGTCCGGTCAATGATATACCTCTCCTCCTGGATTTTACGATAATTGTCTGCTGCGTTCATTGCAAGATCCTCTGGATTCTTTCGCAGCAGGTCTGAAAATAAATAAAAAACCACGAAAATATTGAGTTTTATTTTAAAATGTAAAGAATTCATGATACTCAGTTTTACAGCTTGCCAGCTGTCCATAATAAGATAACTATTAAACTTAATAGTGATGTTATCTTTGCTGTAACTTGTTGTTGAATTTGAATGACATTACGTTAACCGTGGATGCCTAGGTAACGAAGTATTTATTACATTAGGAGAGTAAATATTTTCTCAGAAACAAAATGCTATTAGGAAAAATAATTAAGACTTAAATCAGGAGAGATAATGATAACATAGATGAAAAAAATGAATTTCCATGAATTAAGTCAAAGGTGATGATATAAGATTGAGAAAAAGAGAGAAAATAAAATAAAGGGAGATAATCACTCCTTAGATAGAGCATTTGAATGTTCAGACACGATAATATTCTGAGAAATGTGAAAAACATATTTCTCATCCTTTGATTTGACGTCTGCAAGCCCATAGGTGTCAACCTCTGAAACTTCCTATGAGGCAGATCTGCCTCATTCCTCATTTCGGACTGAACTGCTTTGCTCAATTTATCTTTCCATTTTAATGCATCAAAACAATTCCAACAAGAGGCCCAATGGGCCTGCATCACTCACCTGGTATTAATCTCACACTTGTAATCTTAAAAGTGGACTAAAATACAGCTACAGGCAGAATATCAGTGTTTGATTCATCTAATTTCAGTACCCTGCATGGGCCTTTTGGTTATTGAGAAGTTGTTTGAAGATTTTAAGACATCTGACCCCAGTGACCTTGAAAGTTGGTCAAGGTCAAACATTTTAACAAACTTGGTAGCCCTTCATCCCAGCATGCTACAGGCCTAATATCAGTACCCTGGGCATTTATGTTATTGAGAAGAAGTTGTTTAAAGTAAAAGGTTGACGCCGGACGCCGCACCATAACATAAGCTCACTTGCCCTTCGGGCAGGTGAGCTAAAAAGCATTCATTTAAATCAGACACACCTGTTATGATGATTACACACACCCTGAGGTATCTAGGAGATCATTTGATCACAGGATGTAGATTTTTAGTTTGTATCAGTTTGGATTTGAATGAGGTAGTTTAGAGGGAGTTAACAATTTTGGTCATCTCCCTCCTAATGAGTGAGGGTTGACAGCTCTGGCAAGGTTAAGGGGCTTGAGCCAAAGGATTAATTCCTTAGAGAAAGGGAGATAACTTTAACCTTTGATTACATAAGGAGAGAACAGATTTTCTCTCATTTCCATGTGTGATAGAGCTGTCCAGCTGTAAGAAAGGGGTGTAAGAGTATAGGACTCTTTCATGCCCAGGGGTGTAGGATAGGAATTTTCAAATTTTGTTAAACCCGAGGCTTTGCCAAATTCACTTGATGTGACGTCACAATGGCTCAACAATGATGTGAAGTCACGAATTATGGAAAACTCTGATGCCGCAATGCGGAAAAGGCAACAAGATGAAATTAAAACCTTTTAAGATATATTCACCTAACATGTTAGAAAGATGGAAAAAAAATCTGCGCAAACTCTGTTTAGTATAATATGGGCTGTGCTAAGTCTCGCTGATAGATTTGTTTTTGTCAAAAAAGCTTAGAGGAAAAAATTGATCTTTCTAAAATGGTACCCAGTCCAAAATGGTACCCAATCCAAACACCTTTTCATGGTTTCTGAGCTTATTCTGGCAGCTGGAAAGAGAAAAATACTCTTTCATGCCCAGGGGTGTAGAACAGGAGAATGCCAAATTTGCCAAAACCCCTAGGGTTGAATTTCACTATGCTACACAAACCTGAAAGAGTCTTAAAATCCATCAATAGATAAGAGAAAGATAATCATCACTCATAAAGGAATATTAGCTTTCCTGAGGTAAGTGAGATTATCATTCCTTAGCCAAGGGGAGGTAATCGTTCCTCAGCCAAGGGGAATTAAGCATTCCTTAGCCAAGGGGAGGTAATCATTCCTCAGCGAAGGGGAGGTAATCGTTCCTCAGCCAAGGGGAATTAATCATTCCTTAGCCAAGGGGAGGTAATCATTCCTCAGCCAAGGGGAGGTAATCATTCCTCAGCCAAGGGGAGTAATCCTTACTTGAGATGTATCCCTGCTGTTTTTTTCTTTCACGCATCTTCTGTTGCCAGTTATCAAGTGCTTTGCTCTCGTTAGCGTGTGTTGGGCTAACCCTTTTCTTTCGCTCATATTTCACTGTAGGTGTGGAGGTTTGGAACCCTGGATCCCTAGGGGCCGGTAAGTCCTGTTAACAGAAGACCGCTGATGTGAAAAACATGAATACAAACTATTATTAGCTTCCCAGAGTTTATCCTATTTCTCAAATGTCCTTCATACTTTAAATCATTTTTAAAACTGAAGATTTTATTAACCCTTTATCCCCTATGTAACTTAAATAAACACTACCATACATTGATCTGGGTAAGTCCATAATGGTATATAGTGGTGAAGGGGTTAAAACTCTGCACTTGAATTTGGTTACAAGTTAGTGGCACATCCCCATACAAACAAAATTGTGAAACTTGTTGGTCAAGCAATTCGTTTTAATTTAGGTTTAAATTTCTACCTGTTTACCTTTTAGATTTAAAGCAATCTGGTTCTATGACAGAAAAAAATAAACATATCTTCCTATATTTGTGAAAATGCTGCAATCAATTTCTATTTAAAATGCACATGCCTATGTGTTAATTATAAGACGATATAGGAAAATCACAGATCTTCTCCACAAAACTAACCAAAAGGTCGCCTCTGTCTACAGCCTCTTTGTGGAAGTCATCGTAATTTCCAAGAATACTATGTGGAATAACATTCCCGTATTCGTCGTATCTAGGACCAGCAAAGCCTTAAATAAAAAATGAAAATTAAATGACATCTTGAAAACATTATTAAATACCAGGTATTCAAAAATGAAAATCGCAAAAAATGCTAAAATTCATTTATTTTTAAAATGTTGCTGCCATAAAACAGTGGAAATAAGTCTGTGACTTTACTGTGTTATCCCGGTAAAACATGTATTGTATTGTCCATGTGATGGATTTTTATGCATTGATGCAATGTTTTACCAAATAAATCTATAATGATCAATGAAATGGAATTTCATTGCCTAATTTTTTCATTTTTTTTTCAATCTAATCAACCTTTTCAACAATTTCTTTTCTTTGTTTTATTGTTCCCTCTGCCCTTTCTCTTTTTCTGTTTAACACAAAATTATTTCAAAGAAGTTTTGTTTTAAAATTTATAAAATTCCTGTTCCTATACCCATGAAGAATGGGCCACTCACCAGACACATCTGTTGGTTTGAGAGGAGCATCTGGTGGGGCTGGTCTGGCCACGGTCACCCTGGAGAAAGATTGACAAACAACCATTAAACCAGGAATCCTTGTAAAGTCTTAAAAAATAATGATTCTGAACACATTCTTTGCTAGTAAAATCCGATCGAGCAGTGTAAATTTTTATTCTTCACAATGAATTAACATGAAACATTATCGTATTTACCAATAACTGCTTTAACCCTTTCACCTTGGTAACTTGAGTAGACTCTACCATGCATTGATATGGACGAGTCCATTATGGTCTACAGTGGTAAAAAGGGTTAACTACAGGAACTGTAGCTCTAGGTCTGATTGATTTTATTTTATTTTGAAATTTTATAACACCATATGGTCTGATAATTAATGTAAAAAAAGTTTTTTTTGTTTTTTTGGGTTTTTTTTTAAATCAAATCCACCATATTATGTAATCAAAGGTTAAAGTTATCTCCCTTTCTCTAAGGCATTAATTCTTTGCCTCAAGCCCCTTAACTTTGCCATAGCTGTCAACCCTCACTCAATCAATCATGCATTCATCTGGATGAGTCCATTATGGTCTACAGTGGTAAATTTGCCCTCATTACGGAGGACAAATAATTGGCAAAAGTAAACTGCAGCCAGTATTCCCCGGAGTATACGAAGAGTGACTAGAAGTGAAATACAAATGTATTGCAAATCCTGCAATGTGATGTTCAGGGGTGTCACCTATACTGGGCTCTAGACATATCGGATCAATGTCACGTGGATTTGAAGTAGAAAGTTACTGCTCCTGTGACATGTTATAAAATATCCCAACACACTTGTGATGGGCAATCTGTTAAAATTCATAACCGATAATCAGTTTGTATCTGGAAGTTGTAAACCGGTGGATGATCGATTGCATAACCGGTTTATATTTTAATGGGACTGGCTACCCAAATAAAGTGAGAAGTCTTACTGCTACATCAATAGACATCGTTGTAAAGGATACATTAGGTTTCATTCTTTTATAATGAATGGGGTTTTATGCAGTTTTGTCAATCATGAATTTAAAAAAATCATAAAAACAAGTTATTCCAATGTATTGTATCCATTTGATAGACTTCAATAATGAACCAATATTTTTTTTATGGAATTTGTAATCGATAATCGGAAAGGGTAAACTGATTGATGTTCGATTGTAATCGACCATGACAGTCCATCACTATGACACTAATTGATGAGAAGTTTGGAGTATGTATTGCTGGATATTGCATGCTTCTCTACAATAAAACCTGTTATATAATTTTGCTATCATGTATCAATTTGAAGGTACTCGTTTCATTCATTAACATTTACTCTATCAAGTCACCAAACCCCTTTATAATGCCAAAAAACATCCACTGACACATTGTGGCAGTATAACAAGTTTTCTCGTAAACACGTACACTTTAGGCTTAGGTTTGTTCCATTCCGAGGCCGGCTTCAGCTTACGCACCGTGACCTTGTTGACCTTTTGACCTGCACCTGGAGACCGCTGCTTCTGCTCATGGACCTGTAAGGGGAGACAATTCATCAATTCAACAACATAAAGAACACTTTGTATAGTAGCTGTGTTTTTTAATCTGTCCTTCCTACCAGGCTGTTTCTTTTTTTCTTAGACTCTGCTTTTCTTCCAAAATTTTGGGTCAACTCACAAGGGCAAATAAAACACAGACTAACCCCTGCCCCCTATATGCTTGTATAGTGACATTATATACGCATATAGGGGGTGGGGGGTAGTCTGTGCCTTGCCCCTGTGGGTCAACTCTTGGAAAAATCAGTATTTTCACCTTTGATTAACAATGGGGAAATTCTTCAGTTGTCAAATGTTCAGATAATTCAGTGGCCATAAAGTAACCACAGAAAATCACCCACAGGACAGAGACACAGTGATTATTAACTGCCTATAAAAGTGTATTCAAAATTTCTTGATTTTCAGGTTTTAAAATCCCTTCAGAGTGATTAATTTAAAAACGTGTATAATGACAACACTATGCATTTTTCAACACGTTATAAAGTTTTTGACACTACATGACCTCATTTGAAACTGACAACATAAATTTTTTCAACTTTAAAAATAATATTTTCTAGCAATATGCCCATGTCTGCTAATTAGCCCACCAATATCAATTGCAGTTCAGAAGAAATACAAACAAATGCATTATCCTATAAAAAGTCCACTCCCCTACTTTGAGTCAGAAGTTATGTGTTTGCCCCCTGGGCTTATTGGGGGGTAAATACAGTAATATCATGACTTTGTAGTTTTTAACCTAACATGACCTAGTTTTTATGTTACCTTTTACCAAACATGACCTAGGTTTCTACCTAACGTTCTAGTTTATGACCTAACATGACCTAGTTTTTTGCAACCATTCACGACCTAGTTTTTGCCCTAACATGACCTAGTTTTTGCCCTAACATGACCTAGTTTTTTGTAACCTTTTACCATGGATGACCTAGTTTTTGACCTAACATGACCTAGTTTTTGACCTAACATGACCTAGTTTTTGACCTAGTATGACCTATATTTTTATGTTACCTGCTTGAGATCCTCCTCCTTGATCTGTAGCTTCTCGATATCCTCATTCCAGATGACATTACGGTACGGACTCTGAGCCTCCTCCTCAGCAGATGGGGTCCCAGACTTCTCAGGCGTGCCCCCTGGCTTCGTCTTACCCTTCAACTTGTCTGAAAGGTCAAAGGTTATACATATCAAACAGATGTTTAAATGAACATTAGCAAATGCAGAAAAGTTTCAATCTAAATATTAGATGTACTATGGTACTCCTGAAAAGAATGAGCAGTTTTAACTCATCCACCCCTGAAATTTTGTAATGAACTATTCCAACCTTTGAATTGGAAGTCAGTTCAAATGCATCTTCAGGGTAAATGAGTTAAAGAAATCCTTTGAAAAAGATTGAAAACAATAAGAAGAATTATATATAATTTAACCTTTATTCATTTTACAACAGTTATGAAACAAGTTAGTTCAACTTATATTAATCACTGTCGTTGGTCCGTATGATACCGCACACAGGGTTTTAATGTGGGAGGAAACCGGGGGTACCCGGAGAAAACCCACGTGATCGGGCAGGTGACCTCATACCCTTTCACGTCCGATCTGGGAATCGAACCCCGGACGCCTTGGTAAGAGGCAAGTGCGCTATCCACTGTGCCACCCGAACCACCATTTCAGAAGAATTAGATAATTATTCAATTCCTGTTTTCACAGATTATCCAACTTACCGTAAGTTAAAACAGTAGACACAATTGAACTTTTCCAATTCAAATGTTGGAATAGTTCATTATGAAATTTTAGGGTCGAATAATTATAACCAGTTAATTGAGTTTATTTTACAGCAGTAGAGTTTAAAATAAGTTTGAATCAATATTCCTAAATTAAACAAATGCTTGATGTTAACACTATATAAAAAAACTTCAGTTATAACTGAAGCTTAAATCGAAGTGATGTTCCTTTTTTTGTAATTTTCTTATAAACTTAAAACATACATAGAATTTCTAGGAATACAATATATTAATATACTGATACACTAATATACTGTGACGTTCTGCAATATTCTCCAAACGCTACATAGCATAGGTGTGAACCTCCGAAACCTCCATTGAAGGAGATCTCCCTCATTCCTCATTTCCACTGTCAGCGAGAAAGTATGTGAAACGTGACTGGAACAGCTTTGCTGAATTTATCATTCCCTTTTTATCATTTATGTCTATCAAAATGACTCCAAAAAACATTCATCTGATTCAGACACATCTGTTATGATAATTACACACAATCTGCAGTAACTAGGAGATCATTTGACCACAGGATGTAGATTTTGAGATTGTGTGAGTTTGGACTTAAATGAGGGAGTTTCGAGGGAGATTGGTAAATTTTGGTCAAAATGATTGAGGGAGTCTATGCTACAGTAAGAAAATTGTTTACAACAAATGATAAAATCATTCAATTTTTAAATGTGATTCAACAAAAACACAAAACAATACAGCCTTGCGTTACCCACCCCTAATAAAGAACAGGACTAAAGCAAGTCTAACAAATAAACCTACGTCCACTCTGTGATGCGACAGACATTCGCCGGTCTCTATGGTGACCATGGTGGGTCTTTGACCCCTGGTGACCTTGTGAACCATGGTGCTCACGGTCACGGCTTGGCCTCCTGTCGCGAGACTGACCAGCCTGGTCCTCCTTGCCCATTGTCCAGCTGGTTGAATTTAAGCTTTGAACAGCACAGTATACAAACAGAAATATGAAATATTGACTTTCATTGACGAAAAACAAGAGTCTGATGGTTTACTCCAAGGTTCTGCCGAGCAAGAATCAAATTGAAATTCAAACGTTTTGTCAATAATACTTCCTTCCAAACACGAATCAATGTACTTTAAGCAAACAACACTTGATTGCTCCTATTCATAAGTGAAGCTGTCCCATCAACAAATCTCAACTTATTCTTTTTTTTTTCTATCAAAAAATGTTCCCAGAGAATTATTGTCATCCCTGTAACAACACAAAATTGTTTCTAAAGTTAAATCCAAGGCCTGAAATTGTGATTTGTTTTCTAGTCAAATCTTGTTTTCTTTCAGCAGATGATGCAACTGAGCCATCCCCTGTCAAGTTGAACAGCTAGATGAAGTCTTCAAAACGAAGAAAAACTTGAATTCAGAAACACAGAATTACGAGACTATGAATTGGCAGTTCTCAGCCCAAATGTTGATGTATCCAAGTTGAGAAAAACTGTCTGCGGTCTGTCTAGTTTACGAAAGGTCGAACAGTGCACATCATGTTTACCCCAGCAACACTGTCTCGGAGTTCAAAATGATAATTTTCACAAATGACTGACTTTCAGTAAATTCCGTATGCAAAGTTACAGCACATGAGAAACCAAATGAATGCAACTTATCCCAGATCTTCACACAGAAAATGGTAAAATCATTCGATTTTTAAATGTGATTCAACAAAAACACAAAACAATTCAAAATTCCTGACCGCAACGATCACCATTTGTCAAAATGAAAACCTCGTTTCCAAATCAAAATCGAAATGTATACAAGGTGTCTTCAAGCAGGAGAAACACTGCCAAATGTCTGATGTCTTTTGATAACTCGAAGAGACGTCAAGTGTAATGATACCGAATTGACAGCAAAGATCAATACAAATAAAATGAGCTAGGCAATGAGCTCAGTGTTGTATTGGAGGGCGAAAGTGAATGCCAGATATTTCTACAGGTATCCCACTAAACACAATACTCCCTGGTTCTATACACACGCTATAATAAACTCGCCGTGCATCTCATCACAAATCAAAAAAGCATGGTCAACTTAATAGGTAAAATACTGAGATTTAAAAAAAAAAAAAAAAAAAATATTTATTCATATAGCTCTGAATTTATTTCTCATAACATGAAAATTGAAAACCGTCCATAAAATATCCAATACATGTTCAGCCTTTTTTCCATTAAAACTTAAGGAATAATTTTGATGATTTGGTCAACACAGCGTTAAGTTGAGGATGTTAAGCATGACATTTAAGCTATTGGTGATCAAGAATTTATCCAACTATCCATTATAATTGTATAGCTGTCAATAGGAAATGAGGATACATGGGGCAACAACAAAAAAGCAATAAAATACGGGAGATTTCCACAAATTTGGATGGAAACAAATTATTCTATGAACTAAAAAAGTGATAAGATGGTCTGGATTTATCTTGAATAGACATTTGCAATTACTACAGATATATGTGTCAAATTGAACTGTACTTAATCTTGGGCTGTAGATTAAATTAAATCTTCGTGTTTTCATATCAATTCTTCCCAACATTACGGTTCATGAGAATGTCTCTGATGTGATTAGTCGTTTGAGTGACGGGGTGTTATTACCGTTTCACTGTAAACAGAAATGTAAGTAGACCTGTTAACTAAGTGACATGTTATCAGCCCAGTGATTTGTGATTAAGTTATCTCCCTTAAAATTACTACGGTACAGGGTAGATATATATTATAATTAATAATTAATGTATATATATGATGTGAATCATTCGTAACAAATCTAACTGTTTTACACAACTACATATGTCTCAATTTCAAGTTTCAATTAAGAACACTGTTTTAGAAATTTTTCGTTGATTTCATCTTTATTCTTTTTTTTCATAAAAGAAATTTTCTTTTCAGAAATGATTTATCAAAGCAATAGCCAGCTAGCTATTTGAACCACAGCCCCTGGTCTGGTGGATTTGATTTTTAAAAAAACCCAAAAAAAACCAACAACTTTTTTTACATTAATTATCAGACCATATGGTGTTATAAAATTTCAAAATGAAATAAAATCAATCAGACCTAGAGCTACAGTTCCTGTAGTTAACCCTTTCACCACTGTAGACCATAATGGACTCGTCCAGATCAATGCATGGTAGAGTCTACTGAAGTTACATAGGGGTGAAAGGGTTTTGCAATGGCAATGCTCGGAAAAATGTTTTGATGATGCATATTGGTAAGTTAGTTTTTTGAAGTGGTCCTTAACCCTTTTTCACCACTATAGACCATAATGGATCCGGACTCATCCGTATCAATGCATGGTAGAGTCTACTGAAGTTACACAGGGGTGAAAGGATTATGGTGACATACAGCCTAGTGTGCTCACTCTAAACCAAATATTCTTTTAGCAAAAGTTGCTAAAGGCACCTTTTTACTTTTAGCAAATAATGATTGATTTTAGTGACTTTTACTTATTGGTTCGGACATCCAAATTAGAAGACACAGTAGCAGTTTGATATTTAAATCAAGTCGTCTTTTGACAGCTTTAAATGATAGAAAATATAGAATCTGATTCATTCAGATGTTTAATTTTTTTTTCCTATACACAATTCTGATCATTTACCATAGCACGAAAACCTACACCTAATTGATTGTATTATAATACATCATCACAGCAGGCAGACTTCTTTCTCTCTTAGAAAACACTTATAGCTAATCAATACTCTATACCAATAGTTGTCCCAACACGTCGTAGAACTTAATGTAGACAACTCTACTGAACAGTCGAGGACTCTCAGCTTGGCAGGCTCAGGGACAAACAGTGGAGGACTCTCAGCTTGGCAGGCCCAGGGACAAACAGTCGCGGACTCTCAGCTTAGCAGGCCCAGGGACAAACAGTCGAGGATTCTCAGCTTGGCAGGCCCAGGGACAAACAGCCGAGGATTCTCAGCTTGGCAGGCCCAGGGACAAACAGTGGAGGACTCTCAGCTTGGCAGGCCCAGGGACAAACAGTCGAGGACTCTCAGCTTAGCAGGCCCAGGGACAAACAGTNNNNAGGACTCTCAGCTTGGCAGGCCTAGGGACAAACAGTCGAGGACTCTCAGCTTGGCAGGCCCAGGGACAAACAGTCGAGGACTCTCAGCTTGGCAGGCCCAGGGACAAACAGTCGAGGACTTTGCCAACTTTTTAAAATTTCCATGGGGGAGATTACGCATACTCAGAATTAGAAACAAACATAAAATGTGTGTATGTACACCCTAGGGGGAAAACAACAGTTTTTTAAATGGCATCTTTTGAGCTGTTCTTTCAGATGAAATCATTAGAAGTTAGAATATAGGAATAGTTTAGCAAATTCACTGGTTGAAAATGCTAAATTTGAGGGTCTAAAATAGGAAGAGTTTGCAAGTATTAAGTTAACACTGTCAGAATCTGTGTGAGTCCACACGGAATTCACGTTAGAAAAATAAAATATAACATTGATTTTAACATACATAGACAATTATCTATTTTATCTGTCTACTAGGACAAAAAAACTCCTCCTAATTATTTTGAAACTTCTACTTAAAACAAGCTTTTAGTCAGTTTTGCCATATAGACAGATATCTGTTTGGCAATTTTTAAAGGTGGACTTTTGAAATTAGAAGACCAGCATGATGGATCCCGACACATTCTGTCAGATTTGCCCGCAGTACAGATGGTAAAAAAGCCAAGTAAACAGCAAAATAAATATCAGGGTCATTAATACATATCCAAACCGCATTTAAATATTTTGACACTTAAGACATTCATGAATATTCATGACAAACAACATGGTTCGTTTGCATTCATATAAAATGTAAAACACACAAAAGGGGAAACTCTCAGGAGTATTAAATTAAAAATTCCTGCATTAATTTTTATAATTCAATGAACCTCATTTGCATATTAACTCAAAGTTTCCTGACGAATTGAGGATAAAGATTTTTTGTTGTATAGTTCAACAGTCTAGTAATTTATATGAGTATGCTACCTCTGATGTATATAATACTAACCCTGTAACCTACAACGAGGGGGTATATTTGCAGGGATATTTTATCTGTAGAGAAATTTTGAGATGGCTATTTAAACATTTTTTTTCTCTCATCTACATTTTGAATTTTGATAGGGATCTAACATCAAATTAAACAATCTGAGATGGCCATTAAACTAAATATATTTTTTTGAATTCATAATGGCCTTAAATCCATCTCTGGAATAGATTATAGTGTTGGTGACTATTATATGAAATGGAATTTCAATTTTCACCGATTCATTGTACCGCCTCAGGGTTTTTGCCAGGTATTTAAAGGGTCCGGTACAGAGACCCTGGTTCCCAATTGAAAAAAACAACCCAGCATTTCCCATTACATGTACAGCATTCAAAATACATAAATAATGAAATTGAATACATTAAAACACTGAAAATTGATGTGTTTATTTATTGCTATACATTTTACTGTTAGAAGAAAACAATTTGATTAAATCACAATGCAGGTTTTATTTTTTCCAAACTTACAATATTTTCTCAGACCTGTACATGTGGGAACACTGATGATAATTTCCCCAATTTTAGCTAAATGCCGATGATATTTTCCCAATTCTTGCTCAGGGGCCCTATCCAAAAACAGTTGGCAAAAACCCTGACAGTTAAAATATACATCATAACTGGTGTTACAGAATCCTGTTGTAATTGTCTTAAAAAAAATAATCTGAAAAATAAAAAAATAAAGATGTATATGTCCACTTTAGACCTACTCGCACTTTTTCGGCGGTACTCAGACCCGATTTGTCCAGTTGATGAAGTGAATTTCCGATCAACCGTCGGGACCGTATGCTGTCGTCTGAGAGCACTAGGTGGTGCCGAGTTATTTTTTGGCAATCGTGACACAGGTGTCAGCGTGGAAACAACTTGTAGTGATAATCTCCTCTTGGAAATATCCGAAGACATGGTGGATATATATATCCTTTAGGTAATTCAGAAATATTTTCACAAACACTTTATCCAAACTAGGCAATCACAAAACTCTCAGACAGATATAATCCAAGTCAGACAGCTATTTGATAATCCATCATTATAGTTCCCAACAAAACGGTCACCCAATCAATCCAAAAATATTTCAAGACGTTGAATGAATATCTTTCTCATGAAGACAATTAACTTGATCAATCTTCTAAGACGAAATAAAATCACTATCCTTATACAAAATCATCTTTCTTTACATTTTAAAACTGAGGGTAATGTATACAAATCCTGAATATGCGTGTAGAGCAAACTGTTTGAGGTTCCCATCCTGTTTCTACACTTAGTCAACAGGGAAACACAAAATAAACAGTTTAAGTCAACTTTCCACAAGTTTACCATAGGTCGCGCCATAAACCAACAAAACAAAATTGGACCAATCACAAGAAAGTAAATAGAAAGCTTATATATATACCTACTTGTAGTGACCCCTGAGGTCAAAGATTTGAGAAAATAAATTATTGAAAAATTTAATTAAATCAAAATAATTTTAAATATCTAGAAATGCGCGGAATTAAAACAAGCTATATAAGTTATTGCTAAAAGATTTACTAATTATAGGTATTTATCACATGTGATTGGCTAGTTAATTCATTCGTATTACTGTAATAGATAATAATTACCAGGAAGATGCAATACAAATTAAATGTAAGTGATGGAATTTAATTTTGTCTCTCATTCCATTTGTTTCATCATTTATGGATTAAATTAACCTGTCAAATTCATGAAAATGAAGCTGAAGAAATATTTCTCTTACATAACAATATTATATTTCAGGAACTTGAAATAAATGATTTTTAAAATTTAAAATTTTCTGTAACCTTCTCTCAGAAGCTGTTTCTGTTAATCCTCGACTTAACTGAAACCACCTCATAATGAGTTTTCAGTACTACATATTTTTGAAACTTTCTAGAATATTAA